GTGTAGCTTTGTATTGTTACATAATTTGAATTTTTCTAGAAACTCTCCACACGCCTATGCATATAGCCAATGCAATGCACCAAACAAAAAGAGAGAGTATCTATTATTAGTTTGCTATAATCAGTGTGCTATAAACTTTGGAAGCTATAACTGTGATTGTTATAACGCTTATCAATCGGAAAACTTCAGATACTTGACCAAAAGCATTTACAAAGTTCGAACATTAGAACTCATTTAACCTCAGTGGATTCTCATTGAACATTAGTATTTTTATGAAAACATTGTATAACTTCATCGTGGAAAAACTCGGTGTATGTGGCTGGTGAATAACAAAAGACAAAGCTAGCTAGCTCCCCGTTAAGCGAATTGTACCTACATCAACTCGAAATTAACTGGCTTATCGTGAACCCTCGGTAAGATATCGAAGAAGTTCCAGTTTGTGAAACTTTTGTTTATAAATCATTGTCTGTAACAACTACTTGTAATAACTGTTATTATAAATTGTATTGTTGTCTGTATATTAAAACGTATTTGTGTAAAAAAAAAGAAAACCGTGTGTATCAATCTTTATGGGAAATATCATAAACTGACTGTATATCGGCTTTTACTTAACTGCTAAATTCAAAACACAATTTATTTGACTCAGTTTTAACCCATTTGAAATTATAATACGTAACAATTTGTACACTTGACGTTGTAGGTTTTCAATTAATGAATCAATAGCAATATTTGGTTTCAAGCAGATCGAATGAGAGTATTTTTCGAGTCCTTATGCTTGAATTTGGCGTTAAGTTAAATCTTAATTATTTATTTTTTCAAAAGACTTTCTTAAAATGGTCTATTATCCTAATATGTATCTAGTAATAAAGCATTTTATTAAATCACGTCTGTATTGATTGCAGAGGGTTGATAACGTAATATTCAAACTATCTTGGAGCTTTAACACGTTCGTACAGTACATGTCGTCACATCTGGTCATGATGACCGTTATCTTGGTAAAAACTCCTTCACGAAACTGTCATGCCCAAAGGACACCACTGCTCTTATTTGCTTTCCATAATTCATCTAGTGTACGAGGACAACGGTCTCTCAGCGAGCATTTAAACACTCCAATCACACAGAAATCTATATATGTTGCATCTGACAACTTCACCATGGAATAACACGAATACTCGTTTTATTCTCCAGCTGCTTTAGGTATGCGACGGTTTAGCAGAAGATATGACTGAAAGCCTTATCTTGGTGAACCTATACCTTGTTGGCCTCATTTCCTGATGGAGATCCTCTATATTAACTACAAGGGAGTCTTCGAAATTCTAAATTCATGAATTGAATACAACTTTATGACTTGAATATATGAATATTTTATGTAGGAAAGAGTTGCTACATTCCATTCTCAAAGCAATCATTATTTGGTGGCATTACACTATACATGTATGCTAAGGAATGGGAAAATTTTGTTACACTGCGACGTTATATTGGTTGTGGAGGTCATGTGACTTGCTGAGTTGCGTATTTAAAATCTTTTATAATGTACTTACCCCGTATACATTTACGCTGAAATAAAAAACTGTAAAAGTTAGTAAGTTTGTTATATGTATTTTGGACAAGAAAAGCAGTAATTAGATGTTTATCTGTAAAAACATCTACGCTTACATCATAATTGAAAAAAATATCCATTGTAATCTTCATCAGCAAGCTTTCGAGGCTCTAACAGGATATACATTTTAAAAATGTATACTGTCTTTGAGTCAGTTATATTCTGTTTTATCACAAGTTAAATGAAAACTATCGTCGAACCTACTGTTATTGATATAAAAGGACAACCAAACCAGTTGGTCAAGTATAATAAAGAAACCGTCAACTATAAATAATAACAAAGATGCCCTAACTACAGTCCATAGTCTTGATTCAAGAAATCATTTAAACAAAACAAAAACCTTTGGTGTCACCTTTTACGTTATGTCTTCATTAGCTACAGAAATTCCAGCTGAAATAACTGTTAATAAGATTTATAAGTTTACCAGATATCAAACTTAAAACCTCTTATCACACTGTTTTTAATATATTTTTTTGTAGGACGAAACCTTCAAAGGCATGGTAGTCAGGACACTCGACTCGCAATCTGAGGGTGGCGGGTTCGAATCTCGTCCCCTTTCAGCCATGGGGGCGTTATATTATGTGACGGTAAATCTCACTAGTCGTTGATAAGTAGTAGCTCAAGAGTTGGCGGTGGGTGATGTTGACTAGTTGCCTTCCCTTTAGTCTATTACTTCAAAATTAAGAACTGCTAACGGAGATAGCCCTCGAGTAGCTTTGTGCAAAATTCAAAAACAAACAAACTCATTGACTATTCTATAAGCTACTCACCAATATCAGTTAAATTGTATCTGTTTTGTTATGAAACAAAATATGTAAATGTCAATGTACATAGAGATGATATTACCTATAGCGTTACATATGTATAGATGGTTTGGCAAGGTGACATAAAGAAATTTAATTCAGTTTTACAGGATAGTTATCCAGAGGAACTAATACTGAAAGAAGTAATTTCCAATGGTGAATTGAACTTTTGCACATTCAAATTTTATGTCAAGATACTATGCTGTTAAAAGTTATTTTCGACCCCCCCCCCCAAAAAAATAGAACCATTTTACCTTATTTATCGCTCTAATTTTCAGTGGATGTTGTCAATTTACTCAATGTAAATAGACCTTGAAAGTAGTACTGAATATTCCTGTCGTCTGACTGATGTAAACATTATTTGTCAAAAGTTGAGAAATAAATGTTTTTATTAAAAGTAAAATATGTGTAGAGAAGTTTTATAGACAACTTTTAAATATCTTCTGTTTGTTTGTTTCAGATAATCGCACAAAACTACACAAGGGCTACCTGTGCTAGTTAACCCTAATTTTGAACGAAATACTAAGAGGACGACAGTTATACAACAACATTTACTGCCAGTTATTTGGCTACATTAATCAAATAGTGGGATTTGACAGTTACTCATACAACGCATGAGGGCCCAAATTTTGAGGAAACAGGACGTGAACCTAGGATCGTCGATATGCTAGTCACTATCTCACGTTTGGCCTCCTTTCAAGTATATATGATAAAACGACACTCTTTACTTGCATATAGTAGAACTTAGGAAATTCCCGTTGGTCATTTTAGAGTTTTACACTAGCCTGCTATTTAGGCTCGCCCATGTCATGTTCTTTTCAAAAAAGCTCGCATGTTTTTATTCCTCAACGTCAGCTTACTATTTCATTTTTATCCAGCTCTACACGTTTCAGGTTTCACAAAACTTTTATCGTGTAGTTTACTAACAATTTCACCTTAAGTAATGAATCGTCTTTATGTGATTCCACTTGGCCTACTTTAACATTTATTCGTTTAAGACTTGATAAGTCGTTTTAAGCCAAGTTCTTAACCATTATAGGCCTCACATTAGCATAAAAACTCTGCTAATACTGACATGTAACTTGATTACTCGTTTTTATCCAAATTGCTTCCACTTTTTTTAGATGTAACATACCATCCAGTGGCCAACAAGATCAAGAGCTTATAACGCTGAACTCGGAGTGAGCACAGTGAGCACAACCATAGTCCATTTTGCAACTAGGTGTTTAACTACAAACAAACAGAAGTATCTAAAGTCCGTTATCAGATCGTCCTCCGACAACCTACTGCAGTAGATCATGACTAACAGACACTAGGATGATGTGGATTTGAGCACTGTCTCCTGTGCAGATTTTAAAGAAACGTTACCGCAGTTTTATCCCATTCAGTCGATCAATCTTATTTTTTCATTAAATTAACCAGAAACAGATATTTCTGAAATAGATAACAATTTTGTTAAAACCCTAAAAAGTATGCCACTCGTATTTAATGCCTCAGAGAAGGCTTGAACTTGTAGATATTTTATATATAAACTTTTATAATGTAAACCTATTGTTTATTTGGTAAAATTTATAAACAGTGTATGAAATAATGTCAGATATATTACGTTTAATTTGATTTCATTTTTTATATATTATACATAATACATTCATTTTGAGCACCTTTTTTTAAATTAATAATTGATGTTTTGATCAATTAAAAATCGGTGATTTGCGATATGTATTCAGAGATTCAATTCATAAGGGGTAAGGAATTGATAATTTAGAAAGGACATTCTCGTTATACCTGAGCTTGAGTTGAGACCTTATTTTCTACAAAATGCATATATTTACGTATAATAACATCAAGAAACAACAATATCTCAACGTCATGCAGTATATTATACATTAGAAGAACACAAATAATTAAATATTCGAACACCAGCTTCATTGTACGTATAAGATCATATTTTATAACATTTTGTTTCCCTTAAAACGTGCACAATGGAATATGTAGTTATATGTTGGTTTTCGTCTTGTCTTACATACTCAATGTCTCTATAATTAACGAACTCATTAATATATTACATCAGGTATATGTATTAATATGTATAGGTATTAATATATTACATTCAGTTTTATCATTTTAACTTCTGATACTAATTAATTGAAACTAAGCTATCATGGCTCAAGTATCATGGGCTCAAGTCTAGAAGTTTAACGTTAAGCTTATTTTTGTACTTAGTTTACTATAGTTAAATATTGTTTACTAAAAAAATATTACCTCATCTATGATTGTAGACTTATAAAGAGAGCGATCATACTCCCAGGAGCTGCATCTAACAACCGAGTCTTCTTCCTCCATGCTTGAGTTGTTAAAGTTTTTATACATTAAACAATGACTGTAGGTGACGTTATCATTCGTTTTTGAATCTAATGGAATAGCTAAAGCCTTCCATTGATCGTTGGTAATATTTGAATATTTTTCAGGACGTTTGCACCAATAGTCAATATTTGGAGCAAAAAACACAATCCCCATAACATGCCAAACATGAGGTATAAATAAACAAGAGGATAATAAAAGTATTCTTGTTTGCCATGGTCCGAAATGTCCTACTACGTCCACTAATTCTTTAGTATTTTCAGGTTTCTTATCATTGAGGTCGGCCATCTTCCTAGAAAAATACTAACACGTGATACCATTAGAAATAAAAACGAAAAGGAAAATTCAATACAATAATAAACTTGTATGGTAGAATAGTAGCAAAATCCTATGAACTTAATATTTCTGTAGCGACTTAAACACTTGATATCATACGTACGGTAGTACTTATAGTAGGAACGGAGCGGATACACAATACATGCAATACAAACTATTTACTCCAAAACACCTTTAACAACCAAATAATAAACATTCAAAAGTATTTGAAAGACACCCTTGGGTGATAAACAAATCACATACAAAATTACAAGACACAGAACCATTTGAGAAAGTCAGCAGAGTAGATACAAAAAATTCACAAAACCACAAATTTCTCAATCTCACCTGTCTGACGGACATTGTTGAACGCTTCTAGCTGTGTAGCAAACAGGCTTACGTGCTAATGCTAACGTGAAGTAGTTGACTAAATTAATGAACTAATTTATCAATGTTTAGCATATGTACCCAACCACAATTCACACTACACCATCCAAATTACATTGCACATCATAGATTGTGCGCCATCACATTTACAGTGCACATGCACATCGCAATGTGTACACAAACCATAAGTAAAGAAAATGCGCGCCACACGCACACACATACACCATTATTTGCATATACCATAATATTACGGTGCACACTCACACTGATGATATACATACATGATATCAACACAAATGAATGAATGATGCATAAGATCATGTCACATTGTGTAAAAAAAAGTACATGAAGAAGTGGAAAAAATATTAAAAAAAAATTTGAAAGTGTAGGAATGGGTGCGCCAAAAATTGAGGAGACAAGGTAGGAATGGGCACTGTGTAACATAACTTCATCTGTACAACCTCACAAGGAATGTGTCCAGCATCCGGTCCATGCCTACTTCCTCTTTCTGTGTTTATGATATTATACAATTTTTGGGTACATATAAACGTGTATCTATGATTCTTAAACAGTAACGAATTCATGATGTCGATACACAGAAACCTCATAGGATTTTTTATCTTTGCATTTTAATCAATCTATATAGTTAATGTACGAAATCCTGTTGCCTTCTCATGCAACAGCAAAAATAGGGACAAATATCTGATTCTTCTGGTGTCGTACAAACAGACTTTACAGTACACTTATTTCTTCCAATAATTCGCTTCACAGAAACCTCTAGACATGTAAGATAATCATAACTAAGTTTGATAAGTTTAGTCCACCTGGCTTATTGTATACAGGATAGAAAAAATAAACGAAGTATACATGGACAGGATATTGGATACGCCCTCTTGTGAGGTTGTACAGAGGCTGGTTTGTTACAAAATGCCCATTCTTACCTTGCTTTCTCACTTTTCGGTGCACATATTACTACACGTTCAGTTTTTTTTAAAATATATTTTTCCCACTTGATTAATATAAAAATACTATTAAAATGGTTTAGAGTATGCAAACTGACAGTCACTTTACCGGAAAAGCTTAGTTTTGTTGCACGAGTTAGCATCTGAGCTTATTACCATAAAAAATTAAATAATCCGTAAATGTTCCATATAGAGAGCCTATTTTAATGTTACTAGTTTTGAAAGGTAGCGTGAGAAAATACTTCTGTTTTAATAGAATATTTTTTCACGTGTTATTATTCTGTATCCATTTATAGATGTAAAAGGTTGAGGAGGGAGGAGTCTATTCCTTCCTGAAGAAGCAATGTTCATATTGGTGATGATGATAATACTAATATTCATATTGGTGATGATGATAATAATGCATACTTTGTAAATATAGGACTTTCTCCAAGTTCAGGCCATTTGTCGTATTTATGGCGTCGTTAATGTATCAGCAACTAGGGTGCATTTGTTTATGAGATTTTTGTCATTTTCATTATTTGGAATGTTGGATGAATGTTTATAAGTATACTTATGTTTCATGTATTGGTAAGATCATATATTTATGTTATTTGCAAGTAAGAACTTATTTCCTTTCAATTTAAATGTGTTTTCGTTAAATCTTATTAGTTATTATGCTTTAGGTATTTTTCAAGTTACTAATAAACTGGTAAGAATTAAAGTTTTGTAGATTTAGTAATAATACAAATATGGTTGAACTCCTTGAAATACTATTGAGTTTGCGCCACAAATATTAACAGCAAAAATATTTAGAGTAAGAATATCAAATTGAAGTTTGAATGTAACTAACTTTCATAGGTTTTAGTGTTTGATATATTTATCTATAACGTTTAGTACTTCTAGTAAATGTTTATACAAGATCTTCATTAAATTGTTCGTTATTATTTTAATTAATTAAACAATCTAAATTCTTAACAATATGACATTAGAAGATAATATTCAAGCTTTGGAGCAGCTAGTACAACAGCTAAGCCTACTTTATAGTGAAGAACCCATGGAATGTTAAGTAACATTATAACTCAAGCAGTAGAGCTGCTGCGAATAATAAAAGTAACCCAATATGTAATTCATTAAAGTTTGATAGAGGAGAAATTCGAACATTAAAAATCAAAATACAATTGTAATAAAATATGATAAAAACAGGATTATGAAATTTGGTAAATCAGATTATTTATAAATTAACCAGATATTACTTTAAGTAATACAAAAAATTAAGACGTGACTCCATAAAGCCCCCCACCCCGCAAAAACAACAAACAAACAAAGTTAAAAATTCAAAGATATCTGATAAAACGTAAGGAATAATTTATTTACATAAACATAATAAATATGTATAAGAACATCAGAAGATCACCAATAATTATTTTAAGGTGTTCCGAAAATACAAGGTTTCTGCAAAATGTTGTACATATTTTAAAACTTAATAATAATAGCTTTGGACTGAATCAAAAGATATTCCTTAAATTTCCTATCAACTAAAAAAAAGTTTTCACGAGTCTCTAAAATTTAGATCTTATAAGGTGTCTCATTAATTATGTGCGCTGGCTTATTTGTTGTCAAGATTGGCAGCTGTAAAACTATCATTATTTCATGAAAGGTTTATTCTATTTTTATTTACACTTAATTTTGTGGTCTGCGAGTCGAACCTGTTTATATATAAAAAAACATTTACTGAAATTGTTTGTTGTTTTGAAAACGGTTTACATATTTCAGTCAGCATTGTTTGTTTTGAATTTCGCGCAAAATTTAGCAGTGTAAGACTAGAGGGAAGGCAGCTAGTCATCACCACCCACCGCCAACTCTTGGGCTACTCTTTTATCTTGGCATGTGTGTAATGTTCAATCTTAAAAACTCACAATTTTTTAAAAAACAACGATTATTTTATACACAATTTTATAAAAATGAGATTGTTTCCAGTCTTCAAATTACTAAAATACAATAACTTACTGTACAGGATTGAAAAATTGTTAAAATGCTGATGAAACTGGAAAACAATCTCATACACTGTACATGTTTCGATGTATACTAGTGCGTCATCCTCAGAAGCGTAATGTTTTGCAAAAAATAACAGTTATTTATACAATTATCAAAACACCAATTTACATATTAAAGAATTTCACGCCATCTGCTGACAACATTTCCATCAGGTCTATCATCCTTATTTAATAATTTAAATTTACTTTTTTTACATTTAATTATCTCAATAGATTCACGTATGTTCATACCAATTAACTTTTTAGCCCAACCTGTACATTTATTTGGTATGAATATACGTGAATCTATTGAAATAATTAAATACAAAGAAAAGTAAATTTAAGTTGTTTTTTTCCAATTGTGAGTTTTTAAGATTCTGCTGTATGTAGAAATGAAGTTTGCAGTTCTCTTGAAAAAACAACTGCGACAAATGTTTTATGCACGGCCACCTGGTGAGCTCAATAACATTACAAGTGTTAACGAAACTTTAGTGTTCATGTTTATCAATGTGTTTAACAGGTGGCTAAGTAACCTATAAAAGTACTCTGAAGTTAACAGAGAGCATTTGTAGGTGCGTTAGTTTTTATTATTTATAAAGTTTCCAATGCTGACTGTGTTCCGGCATGGCCATGTGGTTAGGGCGCTCGCCTCGCATTTTGCGGGTCGCGAGTTCGAAACCCCGTCACACTAAACATGCTAGCCCTTTCAGCCGTGGAGGCGTTATAATGTGACGGTCAAACCTACTATTCGTTGTGCAGGCGAATGAATATGTAAACCTATATTTGAAATTAATTGCATAACTATAAATACATCAAGTAAATGATTATATTCACCTATCTTTGAACTGTTTACCTAACGGCGCTTACTTGCTAAAATACAGGATGTCTACAAATAGTTGTATTCGTTTTGAAACGAGATAACTTTGATACGAAACACGACATAGACCCGTAAAACTTTGTCATAGCTCAACATATTTTGGCCTAGTTAACATTCTATATTTTCTCAACAGAAGGTTCCATAATGGTAGCTGTTCAGGAAAAACTTTCAATATTCTGCTGTATTTAGAAAAAAAAACCACTGATCCACGCCTAGTTCGAGCCATAGCTACGTCATTTGTTTTATCATAAAGGATGTATGACCTCTGGAAACAAAATTAATGAATCTGTAAATAGGATACTTAGGAAAAGAAATGCAATTTTCAGCGCCATGCTGTATTTAGCTGTCTGGTATCTTCCTCAGGAATCTTAGCATAACAGGACTGGCACAGTAAATTTTACCATCAAACTTTAAATCTTGTATTTCTCATGAAAATTCAAAAAGTTCTTAATAATAATAATACGTTTCTTAAAATGTAAAAAAAAAACCCGTTACAGCCTTGATATTTCTCTGTCCGTAGCATCAGTTTTTGTTTCACCTTTATTTAAAACCGGTTTGGTTTGCTTGTTTTCAGATTTTCGCTCAAGGGCACATAAGGGCTGTATGTTCCTAATTTTGAACTGATAGACCAGAGGGAAAGTAAACGTCAACAGCAGTCAATGTTGATTTGTGGGTTACTCGAATAGTGGGAGTTTAACATCATTTTTATAACGCACCCTAATTATTTGCAGCAACGGGACAAGAACCACAGACTCTCGGATCCTTGCTAAATCAAGTATATGAAACATGAGCAATGACAGTTCTACGTCAGTTGATTCTAATAAAAATAAAACACACTTTTCTAGTTATAACCCTGTTTATAATCTGTGATGGAATTTCAATAAGACTTTTATGTGTAAACATATACTTATAGATGCGAAAACAATCAACAGCAAACATAATATGGTTGAACTATTGCAGTAACTAACTAAATATATAAATTCGATAGAAGATACTGACCTGATTTTTACGACCCTAGAAGAAAGCGATGCTGTAACGTTCGTTGATGCTCGGATATTTGGAAGATTTTAATGATGCACGTAATCCAGCGGTAGCAAAATTTACGATAAGCTATTACGTGCTGCCTCCTTCTGGCAGCCTTGAAACTAAGGAATCAACCCTATAGCACGTTAAGTGTACTATTGAATTTATGCACTTTACAACCAAACTTTAGATGCATATCAATGTAATTAATGATAAAACAATTTCATTGAGTATAGTTACTGTTTCAAATTTTGATGATATTATTCTAGTGGGGTCAGAGGGCTTCCAGAGTTATTAAAACCATCATTTACTGGAATCTCGGGTTAACCCGTCACGTTACGGTTAAGAAATCGCACAAAGTTCTCGAACTGAATGCTACAGCGGTGTGGTGTATTCCTCCTTTTTTTGACAAAGTAAGAGAGCTAATTAAGTGTAGTTTTTATTATATTTACTTAAGGACAACCATAAAAGAATCAATTCCAAGTGCTTGAAATTAATAAAATTTGAAGCTCTTTAATTCTCTTATCATATCGCATGAACATTTACATATATATTTTCCACACTTTAGGACCCATTTCTGAAAGCCTTGATTGCCTGTTTTCATCCTAAGTTGAATCAATAGGTTATTATAACTCCCAAAACCAGTCAGTGACAACACCTGGAGTTGTCAGATAAAATTAGCCTTGCAACCGGTACAATAATGTAAGTAAAGAAATTACATTTTGGAGAGAAAATTTGAATAATTTCTCCATGAATAGCTGTAGAAAAACAGACAAATATTATTTGTAGCAATATCTAGGACAATCCTTCCCATTTCACCTTTCATCTTCTCCTATTAACTGCCCCCCAGTGGCACAGTGGTATATCTGCGGACTTACAACGCTAGAAACCGGGTTTCGATACCCGTTATGGGCTGGTCACAGATAGCCCATTGTGTAGCTTTGTGCTTAACTTCAAACAAACCCATAACTAGGCTTTGTCCATCTACTGCATGATGTAGTTCTCTGTTAGATCTTTCCATTTTCTCCTATCCTTGGCTTTTTTTCCTTGATAACGGTTCTATGTTTCTTGTGGTATCATCTCTCTGCCGCAGACTTTGTCTTCCTCTTGATATTTTACCGCTCTTGTTCACCATACTTTTGTTCATATTGTCCACCTGCTGTCTGTTAATCTTATGGTATGTCCTGCCCATTTTTATTTGTTCGTTCCAATAAACATGATGATTTCTTTAACCTTTGTTTTTTCTCTGATTGTCTTGTTTGATATCTTTTCTTTTAATCTAATGTTAAGCATATATCTTCCCATCGCTCTTTGCGCGATTCTTAACTTGCCTAGTAATCAACAAGGTCTGATAGCCACAAGTCATTGTTGGCATAATGCACTGGTCAAATACTTTCCATTTAAGTGATATTGGTAGTCTTTTACCTGAGAATATTTTCCTGCATCTTTTGGTTTTTATTCTTGTAAAGCACCTCCTCCTACGTCGTATCTCTCGTTTTTAAGTTTTGGCCCGAATATTTGTACATTCTTGGCCAAAATGTTTGCATATTGTATAATAAATAATATCATTATTATTAATATGAATGTCACAAGAAAATGTTACCAAAACACACATAATGACGAAACATAACATCAAAGTATTATAAACCGCGTCTGTAACTTTATATCAGTTCATATTAGACATTCAGTATTTGGTTGGTCCTCCTCGTACTCTAATAACCTCTGAAAGGTGACGTGGCATGCTTTGATGAGGTTATTTATCTTATTCACTGTGATTTCATCCCAAATTGTCACTAGAAGGCATTGCAACTCAGATACAGTAGCTGGTTTAGGATCGTGGTTAGCAATTTTCCGACTCAGTTCTGTCCAACAGTTCTCAATAGGATTAAAATCTGGAGACTTTGCTGGCCATGGAAATCTTGTGACGCTCTCCTGGTCGAGATAATCCTATACAATATGTGCACAGTGGCCAATGTCATTATCATTCTGGAACACAAGGTTATTGCCTAACCTTGCCCTAGCATATGGCAGAAATGTCTTCTCTGTGTGATTCCTTTAGCAGGCACCATTGATGGTTCCCTGGAAGATATAAAGAGCAGTTTTTCCACCATGATGAATAGTTGCCCAAACATGTACTCCACCACCTCCGTGTCTTCCCTGTGGGAAAGGCAGTCTTTCCTCATCTGTTCTTCAGGCAAACGACGAACATGAATCCCACCATCAGCTTTAACAAGCTGGAAACAGAACTCATCTGAAAAGATGACATGTCACCAGTGCCCTACCTGTAAGTTGGCATGCTGTCTTTCCCAAATAACATGGTTAAGGTAGTAAATTCTGTTTAATATCGGTTTTCAGATAACACTTCTTGCAAAATAACCTGTTTTGGTTAGTCTCCTATTCACTGTTCTTCTGTATACCTTGGTATGATTGTGTTCATGCCATTCCTGTTGTAAGGTGTTTCAAAACTTCTTTCAACCTGGATGTATAGCCTAATCAAAATATGGTCATCTCGGGCAATAGTTTTCCGACGCCTATCAATAGATTTTCCTGGAACAACGTCTCCTGTAGTTCGATGACGTTTCACTACACTGGATACAGTACACTATATAAAATAGGTAAAGTGGTACATCTACATTAATACCCCTATACAAGATACAGTCCAAATAAGTAATACGTATATTTATTACAGAATAATTTAAAATATTTAGTTAGAGTTATCTTATTAAATCCATAAAAATCAATTTATTCATTAATATATTAATGTTGGAAATTAGAAACTGTTATAAGACCTGCTACTATGTAATTCTTATAGAATCTTTCAAGATCTTGACAGTAGCATGGAGGTGGAGGATGGGAACTATACTAACAATGTAGGTTTGGCTTGTATAGTAATACCTTAACATCGTGGTATTTATATTTAAACATCATTATAGGGGCCTGAATTTCAACTTTAAGGACAGTTTTACTGTCTCTCCCATTGATGTATGTATTCCAATTATTTATTTTTTCTTAGATTTATTTTATGTTCTAGTTTTTTTCAGCAGCCACCTTCCCACATCTGACTGCAGACAGCGAAAGGTGGTAAAGATGTGGGACATTCTGGGTTAGAGCACCCATATCTACTCTTTTTTATTTGTTATTTGTTATCATTGTTATGAATGTGAGGTCTGTGAGAATGAGGTTAAACTGGATAGACGGTGTACCCCCAACGCAATTTGGGTCTTACTTCCACCAGTACCTCGAAAATCAGGGTACATTGCATAACTACCCATCTTATGGTGTGTGCCCCTGTGGAACATGTCTGTTTTGTAACTGCATTGTTTTTATTTTTGCTTTCATTTTCTACGTAATATTACAAAGTTATATATACCTTTCCATTTCTCTTGTTTCATGAACTAGTTTATTAAATTGACTTTCCATTTTTAATACAGGGTCTTAATGTCTTATTTTCCTTTTCCCTAAGTTCCTCCCTTCTCTTGATAAGCATTTCTTTGTTTACTTATGAAAGTGAAATGTTTATCGTGTCTTTATCCTGCCTGTAAAACCTTATAAATAAAGGGCGAATGATTTTACCATACAAACAGGCTAAACCATTGTTAAGAGATGACTGCGCAAGTGATTTATCATCGAGAATAATAGTGTTTTTTGTTTTTTTTACAATGTAGAATTTTAAAACTTTTATAATGATATTCTAGCTGAGTGATTCTAACATAGTAATGCATATTATTATGTTTGGCAGACCACAACTCAATTTCTTGCTGTGTGACAGTCCATGTCGGCACTGCTGGTCATGTTTTATCTAACGGCCCTGCATCTTGACAATAGCCGTGCAGCATAGTTTCCACTAAAAACGACTACATTGTAAGACTTTCAGGTCCAAACATCTCACAAGGACGGCGGTTTCCCAGGGATCATTTCATGAGTCTTATGACACAAAAATCCAGAAATGCTTTGTCTGGTGACTTGAAGGGTATATCTTTGTGTAGACTAGCACAAATACCCGTTTAATTTTTCAGCTGTTTGAGGTATGTGATATTTGAACAGGATATTTTAGATCGCATATCTTGTTGGCCTTATTATCAAACTGAGGCCCGGCATGGCCAGGTGGTTAGGGCTCTCGACTCGAAATCTGCGGGTCGCGGGTTCGAATCCCCATCACACCAAACATGCTTACCCTTTCAGCCGTGGGGGCGTTATAATGTGACGGTCAATCCAACTATACGTTGGTAAAGAGTAGCCCAAGAGTTGGCGATAGGTGGTGATGACTAGCTGCCTTCTCTCTAGTCTTACACTGCTAAATTAGGGACGGCTAGCGCAGATAGCCCTCGTGTAGCTTTGCGCGAAATCCACAACAAACAAACAAACAATTATCAAACTGAGATTCTCCTTGATTATTTTGCATTCTGTAGGCATGGGACATGTAGACGGCTTTTGCTATTGTTCTTTGTATTTGTGGATTATCAAAAAACTACACTTTTCTTACCCCGTGTGGGGTTTGATTTACTGCAGGTCTGCTTTTGGATGGTCCTGGTACCTCAAGTTGATTTGTATTCCTTTATTTTACTAATGTCGTTAAGTACAAGAGGTATTTCAAATCTAGAAATTCTAAATCCTTAATCTGTATTTTGTGTAGAAAAGGGTAGTTACATACATTTTACAAATGCGATCAGTTTTTGGCGGCATCACACTACATACGTTATGGTAAACAAAGTCAAAATGCACTTCTGATACATACCCTTCCATTGTGACTTACTCCCCTCCAGTGGCACAGCGGTATGTCTGAGGACTTACAACGCTAGAAACCGGGTTTCGATACC